TCAGCCACCCCACCCCCACCCCGCCGATGCCGTTGGAAAACAGACGTGTTAACGAGGGTTTGTGTACATGAACTTGGTTTAATCATATCAACTCCTAAACAAAAAGTTTCCTCCGAGAGACAACAGTTCACGGTAACCGCAAAGCTAACAATTTTTAAAAATACCAGCCGTGCTTGGCATTCCAAGAAGATATTATAGGGTAACTGTTAAGAACTTCTACCGGGGACATCGGCTTCCGACTTTAAGAAAAATTACAAACACCGAAGCATCTGGGTGTCGGACACGGTCGTTTCGACGTCGTCTGTTCACTTGATGAGTTTCTGGAGGTTCGGGGAATTGTTCCTCTATGATTGGATAAAGCGCCTATTCTAAACTAAACACTTTCAGACGTAGAAAACAAACTAGCAAGCTACACGTACAAAGAGAGGCCCTCCGGGTGAGCGGCCCACACGTGGCGTGCCAGCGGATGCACCATGGGTCCCGGAGGACGAGCGCTGACAGACCCCTGGCCTGAAGTCCCCCCGCCCCCCACCCCAGGCCCGGCTCGGAGCGTGCATTCGCCTACACGTTAACGACAAACTCGGGGTTAGTATAGGAGAAGCCGGCAAACTCGTTTTGGTCCAAGTTCATGATGAAAAGTTTGTCGGTAGGCGTGAGTTCCACGGGCTGCCTGGTGAACTCCTTGTCGAAGTTGGAGGTGTCGCGCCTGTCCCCCTGCCAAACGGAAAGCAAACACGTTAACGCGGCGTGAGCAGCGGGCGGGGACCGAGCGGGCCGGCTGGCGGGAGGACGTCTCGCGGGCGGCATCGGCGGTGCTGACGGCTTTCGGCGGCCGCGCTGTGCGTGCCACCCCTCGGCTCTCGGGTCACGTTGTGTGTTGGCTTCAGGAGAGAAAATCGGGTGGACATTTTCTAAGAGAGGAAATGAGACATCGAATCTCTCTCGGGACAGAGTGGGGCGTGTGTTCTGTGGTGTTCTGTGGCTTTGCGCACATCTTACCACGTGTGACATCAGGGAGCTAGTCCTCAGGAAGAGGGCTGTCCTGGAGGACTCCGGCCATGTGGCTGGGGGCCCCTTTCTTTAAAAGGGAGAAGAATGTCCCCCAAAGACAGAGTGGCATGCGGGGGGCTCAGATCGCTGCTCCAGGAAAGGGGCCAGCCGCCTCCCACCCCACGCTTCCTGGTGTGAGCTAGGCTTTCAAGGGGGGGCTCAGAAACAACACCCCCCCCCAGACCGGCCTTCAGGGCTTCATCGGCCAGAGTGTCTCTGCAAGTGTTTACAGCATGTGTCTAGTCAACAAACTGAGAAAATAAACCCAAAGCTTAAAGCGAGGCCCACAAGGACAGCCTTCAAACAAACAAGTGAGCGAAACCCCATTTTCTTAGGCATTCCTTTGGGGTGGCGTTAATCTCAGTCTATCTGCAGCTTGGGGCGGGTTGGACCGGGGATCTGGGCGTGTGGGCTAATGAAAACATCTCACGTCATCTCTTCGGGGTCCTCGCCGCCCACCTGGGGCAGTTAGAGCTGGGGTCCCTCCCCCATGGAGGAGGGTGAGGTGATCTGCCCGAGGTCTCCTGGTGGGCGAGTGGTCACTTAGCTGCTCGTGATACCTTGTCCCAGGCCCTCTGGGGAGACAGCCTGATGGCCCGTTTGCTACAGGACGACCAAGGACAGCGCCTGGGTTCCACCGGTGCCGGGCAGCTGCCCGCCTGTACAGCGAAAGGTCTGTGCGGGCGGGCTGCTTGCCGGCGTCTGGCCAGGCGCCTGTCACCCAGGCTTCGGGGTAAGCCCTCGTGGGTGCTGGCCGACGGGGCGTTCTCACCGCCCGGCTCGGTCTCCATGACAAAAAGCCTCTCGCAAAAACTCCTTCTTTCTCAGGCTGTGCCCCGAGAAGTGAAATGTCCCTATGGAGGACCCCGCTCTCTCTCGGGGTGCAGGTGCGGGGTGCACGCGCGGGGTGCAGGAGTGAGCGAGACTTCGGGAAGTGCCGCGGCGTGGGCAGGGCGGGGGCACC